TTTTTTTTTTCGCCTGCGACAGAAAAACGGTCCAATCGATCGAAGAAGATCGTTATGATATATATTCTAATATCGAACGTGTTCCACTCCACGAGTTATATACCGACGATTATGGCGAAACAATAACCGCCGATTCGATCGGTGTTTCTCTTTTCGTTCTTCCTTCTGTTCGAGTTTTTTTTTTTTTTTTGAAAATGTGGCAAACCAAGGAGGAGGAAAAATTAAAAAACAAGAAAAAAAAGATAATACATCAAAAAAAACAAATATTATAAAGATATAATTGGTATATTCGTAAATATAAGAAAGAGATCGGATGGAAATAAATAATAATTCGTCAGGAATATTTTCAAGGAATACCGTGGAAATATCAATCCTTCGTGGGATGATCAGAAGATCGATCGATGGATCTTTTTCAACCATCGTTCGATCCTGCCTAACCCTTCTTCTTCGCGGCATTTTCTACCTTTTTTGAACAAACATACTGCGCCTCGATCATCTCGGTGGCAGAAAGCGCCGATGGAAATAATTCCTTCGATTTCCACAACACGTCGCGCTACGTTCTCTGACGCGACGACTTCATCCTCGTTTCATCCTTTATTTTAATAACGAACAATTTCACGGAATTGTTAATCGAGATTTGAAAATTGACTTGTTTTAGAAACGTGCGATATAATTTAATAATCGGCGAAGGGTGGCCCTCCTTTTTTCCTTTCTCACGGCGCAATATATTTATAATTCAAACGACAAACAGAACAAAATACAATATTTATCCTTGCATTTTATAAACTCGTGTATAAATCGATACGAACCCATTTACGCTTACGAGGAGTGTTGCCTCGAGTCTCTCCTCTTTGTCCCTTGAACTTGAACACGATTGAAAGCGTTTGCAGCGAGATTTGAAAATCTTGTCGGGGTGGAAAGTTTAAGGGAAACGATGGTGGATCGCATAAATGGGTTACGTTTAAAAGTTCCTCACATATCCCTTTGTTTCCGCGCTCGATCGTTCGGCTGAATTTTAAAACGAATCGCCAAGTGCTTCCATGTTACTCGATGGATAAAATTTCGAAGAAGTTTCGCGCGAAACTTTTCTTATGGGATTCGTAGTTTGAATCTTTATGAATCTAATATGGAAAAGAAACGGACGTGCGAGGAGGAGCTCTCGAGGAAAGATTCCAAGAGGTTTGGTGGTGTACGTGTGCGTGTGCGTGTGTGTTCGTACTTGTGGATCGATGAAAGAATTAACTTATTTTTAACAACTGCTCGACCACTAATATACATGTAATACACGTATATTTATAATTGTTTGATATATATATATATATATTTAAGGTGATTTTAAATGATATTTCGATGTTTCAGCCAATATACGCGAAAAGATAAGATCGCTAGTGTTGGTCAATTTTATTGGCTAAATATTGGAATATTATTGAAATTAGTTCGTAAGTTTTCATTGTAATATTAGTTCTTTCTGTCGTATTCTATCTGCTTTCGAAGTGAAATTCTTCCAAGTTAATTCTTTCGTTGGACGAACGAGAAACCAAACCGAAAAGTCAATTATCCACAACAATCGTGCCTGTATTCTATCATCACTTTAAGCCTCGAGATTTTTCAATTTTTAATATCTAAATCTATAGAGATTCAAATTTCATTCGAAGCAAGCATCGCATTATTCCAAAATCAAAAAATATCAAAGATCAAAGAGGGGTACCCTTCGAACAACAAAAACACACACATATATATATATATATGTATAAGCTCATCTCATAAGTATTTACTCACGATTTTTCTCAACAACAACAAATTTCTTATTATTGACGAACGTTTCAATTGTTCACCGTTTTTTAATCGAATTTTCTATTTATCTTTTACAAAGTTTCCAAGAAACATCGTTACTTATGGGATGATCTCGTTAAACGATGTTAAATATTTGCAATCACCGTTGCATCGATTCTCGCGTTCAATAGCGTCACCCCCAACAAGAGTTCGTCGCGAATGTCTTTCAGCCATGATCAACGTGCAGCCCCTGTACTTTCCGGTCTTTATGCGCGCGGATCTTTTATTTTTCCTTGTATGTGCTAAACGAATCGAGAAACGCGTGTCTCTCCGCCCTCGCGACGTCCTGTTCAGCACGCAAAGTGGTTTGCAACGCGACGTTTCTGAGATTCTGAAAGAAAGAAAAAAAAGTAGAAAGAAAAGGTGTACGATTGATTTATCCCTTCTTGAATTATTGATCGCGACGTCGTCCCGATTCGACATTGCACGATTCGATATTTTTATATTTCCTATATCCATGGCAATATCGTTTTCTTCGTGTACATTTAGAAATACAAATTGCGTGAAACAATTTAAAAATATAAAGAGTTGTTCGAATCGTACAGCGTCGTCGCCCCTTCGAAATCGTGGCGTAACGTCGAATGATATTTAAATAGAGGCGATATATTGCAATTGCGTCGATTTCAGAATCGAATCGAAACATAATTAATAGACTGCCGATTTTTGT